AGTCCATTTGAAGCTCTGTATGGGATAACCCCTCCCCAACTAGCTCTAGGACCCTACACTCAGGCCAGGGTGGCTACTGTAAAAGACCATCTGAAGGACAGACAAAGGTTGGATGAGCTACTCAAAAGAAACTTACAGGAAGCACAAGACAGAATGAAACTGTATGCTGATCAAAAGAGGAGTGAAAGGACCTTCAATATAGGAGACTGGGTGTACCTGAGATTACAACCTCATAGACAAACTACTATGGAACTAAGAGGCAGCACCAAGCTGTCTGCCAAATATTTTGGGCCTTACCAAGTGATACAGAAGGTAGGAGAGGTCGCATATAAACTTAAGTTGCCTGAAGGAGCCAAGATACATCCAGTATTTCATGTGTCCTTACTAAAAAGGAAGGTGGGAAACCATACAACCCTTGTACTCCAGTTACCAAATGTAGACAAACAGGGGCATCTCAGAGTGGAGCCAGTAGCAGTGTTAGACCGAAGAATTGTTAAGAGAAGAAATGCTGCAACTGTACAGTGGCTCATCCACTGGTGGGGAACTCAACCAGCTGAAGCTACTTGGGAGGATGCTGAACGAATTGAAAAGGAGTTCCCTAGATTTCAATCTTGAGGACAAGATTGATTGAAGGAGGAGCAATTGTCATGGAGCAGAAGTTAGCTAAAATAAACTGGAAGCATGAACTAAGTATCACGCCTTAATTAGGATAACAGAAGGGAAGCTGAAGGCGTGGAAATCTAATATCACGTTTTATTAGAAGGAGAAAGGCGTGCACTAATGGAGAAAAGCGTGAAACACAAAGAAGAAGCAGAAACAAAGGCGTGAGATTAGAAACACGCCTTTGCTGGAAACAAGCTCAACCAACGTGAGCTCATCAGCAAGTGGTCCTGCAAACAGATTCGGTTAGCAATTCACATGGCCGAGCTGGATTGGAAAACGCCAAGGAAGTTAGTTGTCAGCTAGCTATATATAGATAGGATCAGCAGAGGGGAAGGGGGATTTTGTTAGCCATTGTAAGGGATCATTCCCTGAGCATTCTCTCCTTCTATTTTCCTTCATTCTATCATTTTTCTTTCCTTTTCCCGCCAAGTCTGTAATCTTCTTATTTTGATCAATATCAATACCATTTCATTGGGTTATTCATCAGTTAGTTATCTGATTCTTTCCTATTATTAATCTTGGTTCTGCACTAGTTTATCAATCAGTGCCTAGATTCTGTTTGATACCATCACATCTTTGTCCACTGTATGTACATAGTGGCTCCAATCTTCTTTTTTGACTAATCTTTCTGCAAGCATTACTGCAACTGTATGCCTTTGCTTTGTGTCATCAATTTCTTTAAGCCAAGGATTACCTAGAGGGCGATGCATGAAATTGGATCAACCATTAATAATTATGACATCGGCATGATATCATAATTATTTTATATTTATATAAGTTTTGGAAATATTGAAATTAAGGTCTTGTCTATATTTGGCCAATCATAGAAAATGTAAATATTCTATGTACACCAAATAATTACATATAAAAATGTAAATTCATGACTAAAATATGTCCATTCTCCAAAACTACTTGAAAAATTAAATTAAAACAATTTAATGCAAGTTAGAATCATTGATCCTAAATTGATAAGATCATAGGGATGAAAATATCTTTATTTAGAGATCATTCAAGAAAATGAGTGGTCTTGATATTTACACTAAGTAAGTGGGTTTACTCATTCCTATTAATAAATGAAAGTGTTACAATTATGTTTGGGAAAAGGAAGAAAGAAAAGTTTAAGAACCGTGTCAACTAGTTGAATCAGGTCACTGATTTAGCCAATTTTTTACAGTTTTGACTAGTTTTTTACCAAAGAGATTTTGTGCTACAAACCAGTTCGAAAAGAAAGTTGGTTCACAGTCGAACCAGCCGATTTGGTTCCAGTCTAACAACGCTGAGTCGAATTGGCCAGTCACATGCCATAATCTCAAGTCAAAAATTGACTTGGAAACCTAATGAGTTTAAATTGTGGTTTGGCCTACCAAATGGGTTGGACCACAAACCCCACATTGTCCAATTTGTTGTCTTTTTCAACTCCCTATCTTTCTTGTGGGGATCATATGGAGGAAATCATTAGAAGGATGTCTAATGTTGAAAGATTGAGTTGTGACTTTACACAATCAGGGGATTATTCACAGAATAGCTCTGAATTTCTGAGATAGGAAGATTTAACTCAGTTGGATTCGCTTAAAATACTATATTGTGGTAGGGCACTTAATGCTGGTGAATTTAGCTTTCTTTCAAGTCTTAAAAGGCTATCATTGTCACATTTCTCTTTGCGGTGGGATCGCATTTCGGCAATTGGCAGATTGGAAAATCTTGAGGTTCTCAAATTAGTTTCAATAGTTTTTGAGGACACCACATGGGAGATGAGTGATGACGAGTTCCCTGAACTCAAATTCTTGAAATTAGGCAATCTAAACATTGTTGAATGGATTGCCAGTGAAGATCACATGCCTAAACTTGAGCAGCTGGTGTTACAAAAATGTGAGAAGCTCAACAATTTTCCCATTGATTTTGTGGAGATATCTACCTTGCAGATGATTGAAGTGCAGCACTGCGGTGACTCAGTTGAAAAATCAGTCGTGAAAATTAAGGAGGAGGAGAACCTTCGATTTGGAACTGATGATCTGAAGGTCCTTATCATTCACTAGATTGGAAATTCCATTTTCTTGTTGATCTTAGCACTTCCACATCCTAAAAAGGAATCATAGAATTTCGCTTGATATATTTAGTCCCATTTACTGAAAGCTTTCCATGATCATCAGAAATTTTTGCTGCTATCTGCTAGTTAAAATTTTGATATTTTAGTATTGAAACAGCCAACAATTTTCACAAGTATACTGTTCTTTCTTTTCGTTTTCAGATCTAGAATTGCCATTGTCCTACCACTTGTCTGCTACAATTTCTGCTTGTCTAGTGTCCGCATTCACTTAGTTATGTTGATTGCTAGGTTGAGTAAATGGTCAGTTTACAAATGGCAGAACTAAAGGCGTCATTACTTTGTGGTGGTGTGAGAGGAAACGACACCTACCAGCAGTTGAATGTTAAAAGTAATTTGCTAGGCCTTGAAGAAGTCTGCTATGAACCTTTCATTCACAAAATTTTGCCTCAAAAAATTGTACCTACGCCAGGTCATAATCAATTATGTGCGGAGTATTGATTTGAGAAAAGGTCAACTAACAGGCTTTTCTGATTTCATTGTTTAAACAATGAGAACGGATGACACCTAAATTAATACTGATGACAAGCAAAAGTTCTTCACAAACTTGCTCAAAACTTTTTCAGTCTGCACGAAATTGACATGAATAAGCAAGGGCAGTGCTTAAGATTCTAGCCCTCTATAACAAAGGCAATAACGAATTAGGTGATACACATAGTCGAATATCACGTATGATGTTTCCATGAGCACAACGGCCAGGAGACCATAGATAAAGAAGAACACCACAAGGGGTGTGAAGTCGGTAATCACAACTTTCTGCACTATTAATGCTTGGCAACATGCTACGATTGTGAAGACCGCCGAGTAGAAGATGGAAATCATGTCCATCACATAGTAGAAGGGCAGGGAAACATAAAAATCATCAGTTTCAAATCGCAAAAAGATAATCACAAGCAGAGTCCCCATGGTGAACAGAGCGCAGAACAGTCCTCCAAATAAGTAGAACATCAACAAGCCGAATTCCCAGTGCCGGTTCTTGAGAAAAATGGCCTCTCCAGTCGTTTGATCGAAACCTCCAGGTACAGTAAAAATTGCAGCAAAGTTTATGGTACCAATGAGGGTAGACACAATCAACACAGCGTTGGCCAATTCTCTCACAGTTTTCTCAGCACTTTCACGTAGGCTTGCATGTTTCGTCTCGAATACTTGTTTTGCTGTCTTCCCATCAGAATTTTGTAGTTGCCAGAGATATGGATAACAGTCATATTGAACCCGCTGTTCAGCCAAAGATCAATCTTAAGTTGCAAATAGTCCGGAAAAGAAAATTAAACAATATACAACAGGCAATGCAATACTGATATTAATTTAATTTGGTACCTTAAACCAGAGGACTTCCCACATCATTTGCTGAAAAACTCCAGGGGGAGTGCTGGGAGGGGATTCCAGGCGTGCTGCGAGATGTATAATGCTATTTCCTTCGTGATCAATAGCACTTAGCATCATGTCCATGTTAGTACCACTAGTCATCAAGTAGTCGTACAAGAACCATTTTTTCTCCTCCACTGCAATTTGCAGTATATTCCTTCCTTTTCCATCGAAAGTATACGCAGCTTCAGGGTAGACACTGAGGATTTCCTGAACTACCTCAATGATGCCCATTCTCGTTGCTTGTATTAGTGGATCTGGCATCCTATGTTTCTTTTCTGATGATATCCCAAACTGGCTGCCTTCAATATCTTTGTCCTCTGTATGCACATAGTTGCTCCAATCTTCTCTTCTGATTAACCTTTCTGCAAGCATTAGTGCAACTGCATGGCTTTGCTTTGCATCATCAATTTCTTTAAGCCAAGGAAAACCTAGAGGGCAAATACATCAAATTGGATAAACCATTAATGAGTAACTCCATTAATGAGTACTTCAAGATCCATTACATGTCCTAGGCTTTTTGTTATTCTTAGCATCTATTATTTTGGCACAAATCTATTCGGTTCTTAAAAAGAAACAGTTTGAGGAGGTTCAATTGGCTGAAATGAATTTCTAGACTTGCAATTGCTTGTTTATACATTTTTTCTACAGCTCGCCAACGAATAAAGATATGTGAAGTAAAAGGAAATTGAAGAGAGCATGCAGGCCCAGCTTAATACCACTTGAAAACTAAATTCTTACATGGGTTAGGCATGATAAAGAAACTAATTTACTCAAAGGAAATAAGACGTTCTTGTAACTGCGAAGGTAGGCTAGACAAGACTATGCTTCAACTCTCAAAAGAAGAATTTGGGAAAACAAAATTTTATCAACATATTCTATCATCACTAGCATGAGTGCATATGTAGTAGATGCAAGAAGATGCTTTACCCAAGATATAATTGACAGAAGAAGATCTGTCCAATTTATGAATGGAAGCTGAATTGCTTGGTTCTTCTGCACTGTTGACAGGTTGCGATTCCTTGTTCAAGACCGGAATACCTGCCAGCAACACAACGAACTGATAATATCACTCTTTCAAAATTTTGAGGGCATCCTCAAAAAAACCAGCTGGCAGATAAAATGGTAGTTCAAATTGCTTCTCCATGGATCCCAAAACCATTAAACACAAAATTAGATGATTTTTAGCAACGTCTCCAGGCTAAGCACAAATTCATGTCACCTGAACATACTACAAGAGGGGAATAATCATATGCTTGATAGGATCTGCATTGACTTCAAAACCATATCACATTCAGCCCAATGATTATTGTCAATTTGCCTAATCAGCTATGCGGGTAGAGTACTTGAGTACTTGAAAAGAATTATGTTGCAACTTGCATGTGGGTAATAATACAGCACTTACACCAATAGATTATAGCTCGGAGTATATGCAGAGGAATGAGGGACTTCCTGCCAAGATCGTTGAGCGTGTAGGCAGAAACACTCCTGAAGGACTCTGGTTTTGCAGCCAAAAGATGTAAAGCAGTTTTTCCTTTTTCATTACGTTTGCCAGCAAGATCAGGATACGACTCCAATATGCCAATTGCCAAACCTGTTTGATACAATAGAGCGAAAACTTGAAAAGGACTAACATTTAATGCAACAACATCCCACATCATATTCCACCAGCATAGACCTAGACAAAAGATAAGATAGCATAATCTGATAAACTGAACAAGCATAGAGTTCAAATTCAGCAACAAACTTGATAACTTTTGCAGAGACAATCAAAATTTTACTTGATAGAGAAGCTTACTGTAATATCCTCCAATTACAGCAGCATGAAGGATTGTGCATCCATCATTCCTCCTCATCATGCAATCACCGATGTACTTTTCCAGAAGTGAGAAAACTTCCTTTTTCCCACATGCAGCAGCCACAAAAAGGGGGGTTTCACCCAGTTTGTTTCTCTCAGACACTAAATCCTTTTCTGTCCTTAACATGAACTCTGCAACATCCTTGTGGCCAAATCTTGCAGCTCCATGCAATGCAGTGTCGCCATTGACATTCTTTGCCTTCAGATTTTCACTGGTCACAAGACCATCCTGGAGAAGTAATCTGAAGGCATCCACATTTCCGTAAATGGCCAGAAAATGGAGAACAGTATCACCACATTTATCAAGTGGTTCAACACCTTCTTCCCTCCAGAAACTGCGAAAGGTTTCTACTGACTGTTTTTTTCCCTCTAAGACTGCTCTATAAGCAGCAGATCGGTTGCTCCTATCCTCGTTGATTCTTGAGCTTGCCATTTTTTGATAGGCACAGAAAAAAATTCTTATGAGAGTTCTGTATCAAGTAAATCATCCATAAATATATATATTTTTGTCGATATGATAGCTTCCTACACTTTGGGGAGAGGGAGGGTCCGAAGAGGTTCTGGGATAACTCGAAGGGGACTGAACCACCACCGGACCAGACAGGTGTACTACGCACCCGTCTGGATTTTTTAATCACAAATTTGTGGTTAAGATGATGCAAAATTCATGGGAGACAAGGTTTTAATCTTTACCTCCCACCCTACCAAACTTTAATGCATTGGTAGTGGCTACCGGCCCAAAAGCTGATGGTTATATATAGCATTCATATATAGCATTTGGCGGCTGGTGGTTATATATAGCATCCATATATAGCATTTGGTATTTCGCATACACGAAATTCTGATGCTTCAGAATTTCGTGTATGCGAAATGCCAAAGTGGTAATGTACCACTCAACAAAAGAAAAGCTTGAAGGAAATGACAAGCAAGGAAGTGACAAGCAACGAATTGGAAGAAATGCCAAAGATTACCACGAACACTAAAAAGATTACCACGATTTGGAAGAATCCTATAAAAGCTTGAACATTGGCCCCTCCAAAATGTGATAATGGAAGCTCTTAGTCTCAGACCGCACCAACTGCCAAGCCTGCTTTTACTGTATTGACGTTCAAACACAAGGAAAGAACAATGCCAAGCATAAACCTAAATTGTGCCCACCCCCCCCTCCTCCTCCTCCTCCTCCTCCGACTAAAGTTTGGTGTCATATTTTTGTTGCATTTTTACCCATTGATTAACGATCAACACTAACGATTGAGCAAAAAAGATACTAATGACTTCAAAATAATAATTAGTGGAAACAATGTTGGAGAATATTCATTTTTTTTTATTTCGAGATGATGTTCGTACTCCTTACAAATGGAATCCAACCATGTTGGTTTTTTGGGACATAAACTAAGAAACAACACCTTAGTGTTGCAAAAAAAGCTTATAAGAGACTTGTATTGAAGATGGAAGATGAGCTTATGTTCTACATTCATCAACTCACTATTTATAGTGATTACATGAAACAAACTAGCAAAATATCCAACTAACAATTATCCTAAAAAATCTCAACAAAATATAATCTTCTACTACTAGCAAATCTTATCTAAAATATTTGTTAACAAACCAACATGATCTTTGGTTAACAAATATCCTTATTTTCTAATAACTAAATTATTTTGATATCAAATATAATCTAGCAAAATATGTAGGAAAAGTTGCATATCCTAACACTCCTCCTTGCCACTTTTGCTGCAGATTTTGAATTGTCTTCTCAAATCTTTGAATCTTGTTTTGGACGAGACTTTTGTAAGAAATTCTGCAATTGATGATTAGCCTTGCAATGAACTTCTTTCTTTGGATTTTTATGCAAGCTAAATATTAGTCTTGCAACAAACCACTTCTTTTGTCTTCTCATGCCAAACTCCACATAAAAGATGATTTTTTTTAATGTTTCCAAATAACCTTCTCATAGGTTTAAAGTGGAACATTCTTTGACAATATTTGAACCTATACAGAAAATATGAAATTCTGCATGGTTCTTCATTTTGTCATGACCATCAAAATCTGTAGACTCAAAAACAGAAATGTTATAATCTTGATAAATATCAGGAAACAATTTGATACTTCCTGACTTATCAATGATCTCCTCCTGAATTTTTTCAGGATCTGGATTCTTGATTTCATCATCATGTTCCACTGTAGAATTGTCAAAATCCGACCAATTCATAGTGAAACTTCTCCTTTTTATTTTAATTGAGAATAATTTATTCTCAATCAAATCATCAGCCATTATCTTTGTGAAAACGGCATCAAAAACTGATATGTGAATGCTGGTCTTGGATCTCTGTCTGACTGCAACTCTGTGGTCTCTAATTTGTGTGTCCATCAGCTCTTCAAATGCTGATAAAACAAAATTCGTCTCCACCATATCCCGTAGATCATTGACTACCAAATAAGTCCAAAATTTTATGGCCCAAATTTGGTAAGTTTCACCACTAAAAGTTGAAATATTTGACAAAAAGTTCTTTCCTGTCATGGCTTTGAACTTATAAAGGATCCTCACCAATGCACTCACTCTAAAAAAACCTCAGGCCCTTAAGATATAGGCTCTTGATACCACTTTGTTGGTTTTTTGGGGCATAAACTAAGAAACAACACCTTAGTGTTGCAAAAAAAGCTTATAAGAGACTTGTATTGAAGATGGAAGATGAGCTTATGTTCTACATTCATCAACTCACTATTTATAGTGATTACATGAAACAAACTAGCAAAATATCCAACTAACAATTATCCTAAAAAATCTCAACAAAATATAATCTTCTACTACTAGCAAATCTTATCTAAAATATTTGTTAACAAACCAACATGATCTTTGGTTAACAAATATCCTTATTTTCTAATAACTAAATTATTTTGATATCAAATATAATCTAGCAAAATATGTAGGAAAAGTTGCATATCCTAACAAACCACTTGAGAAAATCACATGCTCTTGAAATATATTTTATAATCTAAAATCAAATCATTTCATGCATAAAAAAGTCATAAAATAATTAGCAAAAAAAGAATACCATCCAAGTTTTACAACAAAATTTTTGATTGAAATATTCAAATTTTCATGATACGTGCAAAAGAGATATCTTACCAAAAGTTGTGTCGTACCTCTATTTATTGATTTCACAATTTTAGAAAGAATATGTTTAACAATAGCAAAGTTTTGAATTTACTTAATATGATTAGATTTTTTTTTTTTGGGAACTCAATTCTTGATTTTCTAAAACAAATGAATATCATTAGAAATGGGTGACATGAAAAAGTTGGGTAGGAAAAAGAAGAATAGAAGAAAATGGAGATATGGTAAAATTGAAACTTTATAGAGTTTATCTGTAAAAGCTAGTGTGACTTAATAACAGGAGGCAAAGTGCAACAAAAATATTGCCAGGGAGGAAAAAGTCCGAAAAGGCGCCAATGAAAGAGTAAACTTACAGGAGGTGCAAGTAACTTTAATGGCGCAATCGTTTGTTACGTAAAACGAGTTTCGACGCTTTCACTATTAAATTAACTCATGTTATCATCTAAATCTTTTTTTTTAAAAGTTTTTTCTAGTAGGGAAGAGTGAAATCCAAAAAGCAGGGAACCAAAACCTTTAAGTCCTGTAAATTTAATTTCAACCACTAGACCTAAACCTTTTAATCATCTTTATCTTAATTATTAATACTTACCAAATATTTAATTAACTGCAAAGAATGAATGCAGTTCATACTATTTAATCAATACTATTTAAAAGGCATTAATGAATTATAGCATATCTTTGAGTCTCTTACACCTCGTGCAATTAAACTTTCTCGACATAACGTTACACCTCGTGCAGTTGAAGCACATGAAAAAGCTCATTTGTGCCCTGCAATTGCTAGTTTTTCCATCCAATTGACTCACACTGGAGTGGCCCTTTCTTCTTCCCCTTCATATATTCTGCTTCTAGCTTCAATTACCTGTTACAGATATATCAATCCACACGAGTAAAAGTGAGGCAGCTAGCTGATTTAGTATCAACAAGATTTTACCAATCACCAATGAATTAAGTTCTAGAATTCACTGAAGTGAAATAATGTGAAAGGAAATTCAAGTAATTTAGTGGACTTAGCATTCCAACCTGCTTTTCCCAGTTTGTCAGGCCTGTGATGATGGACAAGAGAAGACTTTCACCGTGGCTCCAGCGACCAGTCCACTCCACAGACCCATTCCTCTTAAATGCAGTGCAAATCCCAATATTAAAGCCACAGGAATTCCAACCAGATAATATGCCCCAAGATTTCCATAAGCTCCTAAGTGCTGCCATCCACTTCATCTTGCTACCGCTGGTGCCAAAAGATGGCATTGGCTTAGAAGATGATAGGAAATAAAGGTTCAATGTCTTGCCTACTTTGACATTCTTCTATGATGTCCTGAGCTTACCGTTTAAAGTTCTGAATTCGAAAAATGGTGGATTTTTTGCCTATGGAACATTCATATGTTTTATAGTGAAGAAATTCTGTTTATATATCAGCCAACATGAAATCAGACCTTAAGCTAATAGAAAACAGACAATCGGGTGAAAAAAGTTTATCAGTTCAGAACGTTTCATTAGCTTCAGTGATATGATTATTGTGTCCTTGACAACTTCTGTTGTCTTTGTTCCATCTTCATGGTGAAACGTGTATATCTGTCAATACTTATGCCTGACCAAAGAGGACCATTATCATTTTCAGTCCACATGGGATGCATTATATATCGGGTTCTCAGGGCTCAAACTATGCTGCCAAATTACTCTGGATAAAGAGAAAAAACTACGAGCGAGATGAATTTTGCAAGCCAAACGCTATTTCCTTTACTGAATGATGTCAGGGAGATTTACATTATATGTATAATGTTAGTTCTTCCCAAATTGCAATACCACCTCGGATGTCTTTCCAACTAGTCAAAAGATTAAGAAAGCTTAAAGCCAAGGCAGCAAAATACCTGATAATACTGCTTGAGTGCTATCCATGATGATGGACATGCATAGAAGAGAAGTCATGTGTTTGACATAGTTAATAACTTCTTTCTCGTCACTGAAGGCATATCCAAGTATGGAACGGCAGAGAAATAAAGTTATGCTTGCCAGAAAAAATTTTGATACAGATTCTAATAGTACTGTACAAAGAGCAATTCTTGCTGCCACTGGATTCCCAGCTCCTAGCTCATTTAATATCCGTGTACTATAAAATACAAAAAGATATTCTTTTTAGACAAATCTTACTTGCTTGAAATCATGACACTTTTCTGTTGTATAAGTAAAAGCACCATATTCAATTTATCAATGCATCTTAGTGTAAGGGCAAACCTTGCAGCAACACCAAAAGAGTATGCTATGAGGTAGTGCAGAGAAGTAATGGTTAAGCTGCTCAAGGGAAATACAGAATCAGTAAGAATTAGTTTTCAAGTTCTAATCGCAGTATGAAAATGCTGACAAATAAGCTTACCATATAGATAGCACAGAGGTCTCTAGCTTAAGATTTGGTGACAGGCCAGACAGCAACACAACTAGCTCATATGCCCACCACTCCAAACTACCATCATCAGGATGATTAACAGATAGTAAAGAACCAGAGGACAAGAACTATCTGGACAAATGGAGAGGCTTAAGGATTAAAACTTACCAAGTCATTACAGTGGAAGGGATGGCAAAACGGAAGAATCCCCCCATTGTTTGAAGAGCATCCATTGAGAAAGGAACACGAGTCTTTCTACAGGAAGAAGAATACTTCACATACAGCACAAGTAAGATGGCGTTTAACCAATATGATATACCAATTGACAAAGCTGCTCCAGCATTCCCTAGCTTCAACTTGAATACAAGAACCCAACAAAGAGGTAGCTGTAAGGATACCGATGCAACTGTACTAAGCAGCATTGGAAAGACTAAACTCTGAGTCTGGAGAAAGCGAACAAGTGACTGGAGAATGGCATAAGGGAATAGTGTAGGTATGAGCCAGATCAAGTATTTGCCAGCCTCAGTTGCAATTGCAGGATCTTGGCCAGTGAGTATTAACAGCTTGTCAGTGAACATCCACAGAAGGGATATTGGTATACAAACTATGAAGAGACATATGATGGCCCCATAAGTATAGGTTCCAAGTCTCTGGTATTGTTCTGCTCCGAAAGCCTGACCACACAAGGTCTCCAGTGCACCTGACATCCCAAACTGCAAGGTAGTTAATTTGTTTCATCTCTTAATAAACATGTTTCAAGAGCACATATCTAGTATAATCACAGATTATAAATGGAATCAAGCTTTGTAATGTGCAGTGTAAGTATTCATCATCATCGTCATCATTGTTAATGTTACTAGATTTTTTTTTTATCTTAATGACAATTCTATTATGAATAAGCCATTTCTCTTGTATTTTCTGCAAGTAACTATGCAGAAGGCTATGTTACCTGTGTTCAACAATGTATCTAATTTGACTACTTCAACCTTTCTAGTAGAACAGCGAGAAGGCATGACACACTATATGTGCACCATGTGGCATGCATCAGTACCTCACCAAGTAATGATAGTGAGTCATACCTTGTGATAACTTAGTGGTACAGGTTCTGCACCACCTAATAATTTATGTATGATTGGATCTGGTGTTAGAGACCCTAGTCCGCATTGGCCATTCTACATAAACAGTGCAGAGTCAAGAAGAGCCAATTTCTTGGCAGGGTGGGAGGTCAAGGGTTCAAACCTTGCCTTCCATCGCTTTACCAGTATATGTGGCTTCTCCAAATCTATACGGATGTACAGTGCACCCATATAGTCCGATGGTGATTCAATCCTGTCGGTTCTTCAATTGAGTCCAGTTGGATTTCTCCCTAGAATAGGCAAGAGTAGGAGCAGGAGTAGAGTAGACAGTGATAGTTGACAAAAAAAAAGAAGAAAGAAGAAGAGCCAATTTCTGTGAGACACAGTTATCTTGTAGGGTGGATTTATATCAAACAGTTCCCTAATACACTACATTTTCTCATATTAATTAATTTTCCCTTGCTTTGGTTATCGAAAATATAGCATATGCATCTCAGAGTATATATTCTAGTCCAAGACGAAGATTTGACTTACTATAATTTTGTGGATAATTGAATGATAATCTCAACTGCATGTATCAGATGAACATTTTGGGGTATTATCTATTATGGGAAAGGACTTACAAGAACACTGAAACCAGTAACATTGGAAAAAGATGTGGCAATGGAGGCACCAGAGAGTTGGAGTTGGCCAAGGTGGCCTAACATAAAGATTGGAGAAACTCTCAAGAGATATTGTCCCACAGCTGCTACCATCATCGGAAGTGCTATGCCATTTACCCTTTTCAACTCTTCCACATAAATCTTCCAAGTTGCCACCTTTGTTGATCCTGTCTCCTTATCATTTTCTGGCAGCAGCGCCTCTTCCATGCTCTCTCTTTTTTCTTGCAGGACAACTCCCTTGTACTTCCTGAATCTGGAGATTTTCGACAACATAAGAAAAGAATATTATAGTAATATGTAAATGAACAACTAAACAAATATCTACTTGACTGAACAGAAAGCCGTATCCATCACGAACCTGGAAAAAGAGGTACCAGAGAGTCGCTCAAAACAGTTTTCTAGCAGATGTGAGAAAAAGTTCAGTAGAAACTTTTCTCCATCCTATCCAGCCTGAATCAACCATTTGCTGTTTTTTGTCCTTTTCTTATTGTTTTTCTTGCTGGGGAATCTGTAAATGCACACCATTATAGGAAGAGTATCTGAGAGCTCATTGCAAGTAAAAACTTAAATCCTTTCCATCTTTCTTTTTTTTTTTTCTTTTGGTTTCTCTTCTTCTTTTCTTCTGATCAGAACAAGTGAACCATAATGTCAGGACGCAGAAATTAATTGTAAAAATGTTCCAATTGATTTTTCCCCAAGTTCCATACGTTGTCGTGTTGCTTACAATTCAGTAGTTTCAGTAATAAGTAGGACGACGTCGTGTGGTAGGAATAATAGAATTAGTTGCCGACTTAATGAGTCGGTTATTCCATCCTATTTGTATAGCTCTGATTGGTGGGAAAGGTATCAAAGAAGCATAACAGAATTTCTTTCTCTTTTTTGCTAATTTCTCTCTCTACTTTCCGTTTCTCTCAATTCCCTCCCCTTCCTTGTTTCCCTCCGTCCTCAAACTTCACAACCTTTCCCCAATTTCTGAACTAATTCACGAACTCAAGAACAGAAATGGATCTAAAAGCCTGACAAGTGGTATCAGAGCAGGCTGAATCCTCGGAACAACATCAAAAAGAAGGAAATTTAATGGCAGAAAGTACCAGATTCAAGACTTTGGAGGAGCAGATCAAGAAGCAAGAGATCAGAATCCAAGAGGTAATTGAAGGTCTGCAATCCTCGCAACTACAGCAATAGCAGATGCAGAGGGAATTCCGCACGGAATTAGAAGAAAATGGCAAGAGAGTAGAGAATTTGGTAGCTGAAATGAAGCAGGAGCTCAGTGCCTTCGTGAGAGCAGTGATAAGCAAGGACAGAGAAGTTCCAAACGATGACAGGCAAAGAGTGGAACAAGCACCACTCTTACCAACTCTACCATTGAACCAGAGGCTGCAGATTGGATTGGACAACAACAGGACCGCAAGGAAAGACACAAGTAAGATTCTAGTGCCAAATCCTCCTAGAATTGATTTACCTATGTTTACTGGTGAGAATCCGAGGGAATGGATCCGAAAATGCAACAAATATTGTCTAAATTACCAGATTCCTGATGATCAGAAAGTGGAAGTTATAGAAATGTATTTGGAAGGCAAGGTAGATATCTAGTTCCAAGGAATTAAGTTGGAAAAACCAGGAATGACTTGGAAAACATTTGAGGAATTGCTGTATAGGAGGTTTGACAGTAGAAATGGGAGAGATGTGGTGGAGGAATTTAATAAATTGAGACAGGCTGGTAAGGTGGAGGAGTACCAGGAAAGATTTGAGGAGTTTAAAACTTTAATGATGATTAGAAATCCACATCTGGATGAGGAGTATTTTGTATCAAGCTTTATCAGTGGCCTTAAAGATGAGATCAAAACCATGATAAGAATGCTAAAACCTGCAAACCTGTCAGAAGCGTTTGAATTGGCTGCACTACAGGAAGAGGCATTAAGGCTTCAAACAAGGTCCCTCAAGAAGGGAGGAAAGGTTGCATCTGATGAGAAATTTGGAATCTCTAGGAACTCTTCCCAACACCAGATCAGCAATATCAATTCGTCCAAGTGAATGAATCCAGTGTACAATCTCTAGGAACTTATTATAAGGTGCCTTCCACCAGCACCTTCAGGAATACTCCATTCAAAGGCAAAATAATGACTACTCTAGGTGCTGAATCTAGGAGACTCTCAGCAGAGGAGCTTCAATACAGAAGGAACCATGGACTTTGTTTCAAGTATGGAGAGAAGTTTGGACAGGGTCATCAATGCAAATCTGGTTAGTTGAACCTGTTGATTAATGATGAAGAGGAGGAAATTGAGTTTGAAGATGCTATAGGAGAGCAAATATGCCTGGCCCTGAGGATGGGACAAGAACCGTTACCTGAAAATTCTGAGGTGCCTTGACATGTTGTCAGTTTGTGCAATAATAAAACATGCTCAAACTAAAAGTAATTTTTGTAGATAGCGGTGAGCAGCGTCAAATCCACAAAGACTGGGAGTAATTGTTTCTTTTCAAATTCACAGTGACAAGGGGGGTGTTTTTATATCAGGGGTGACAATTTAAGCAATTCAATTAAAAGTAAAATAATAAAAATAAAATTGCCAACTAGAAATTAAATAACAATTTACTAAAATCAAATGAGTGATAATTAAGGATCTAGCCAAGGAATAACTTCAGCAATGATTCACCTTATTGATCATTGAAATAAAGGCGATTCCAACTATTTACTAATAAATAGGTTATAACTGCCAAACAAGCGATGACAGTCAACCCCTCCTTACTGTGTCGGTGATTAAGGTACGCCCATTAATCACTACTCTAATTGAGAAATAATCTTAGGTACGCCCGTAAGATTTAATTCCCCAATTGCCTTACGTATTAAAGGAGTTCTATTCTAACCAAATAACACACTACCAGGGTTATTTTAGATTAGCCCGCATATTCCCCTGACACAAACCTAATCATGTCAGTTATCACTATTTTGAGACAATTAAACAATTACGGATTTAACGTCCCAATTTACAATAGATTATCAAATTAACTAATTATCCGGATCCAAGACAATCAATTAATTAAATAATCTTAAGTACTACAATCAAGGAATATGCGAATACCAATAAATAAAAGGAAAGATAAAATTAAATCGATCTCACAATTTTAGGCGATCCAAAGCATCCATTGTTTCTTGACTAGAAAAAGAAAATTAGTTCATTCTTGGTGAACAAATCCCATGCAAAATTGAAGAGGAAGCCGCGGTCATCGTCCTTGACCAAGGGAGAAAAGCTACTACAAAAGCAAGAAAGGAAGAGTCAAAGTTCTTCCCTTTTGACCCTGACATGCGTAAGAATTAAAGCTACTCCTAAGCTAACAAGAAAAGTCAAAGAACAAAAGCTCCAGGAGGACAAATCCTCTGCTCCCCTAATTCCTATCTAATGCCTATTCTAATGCCTGGCTTTGTGCGGCGGATCTAGCCCCCAAGGGAAAGAACGCCCAGCCCTGCGTTCCTTCTTCCTCTTTTATGCTGTCTTCCGCAAATTACTAGAGAGGGTCATGTCTTGATATTCCAAAAATACCCCTAGATACCTGCTACTTGAACTCTTTTCTGATGACTGTCAAATTGGCATTGGTTATGGTATTTTCGTTCTACTCCCTGAAATAAATGCAAATTATGAAAAGTGAGTAGAATCTAATAATTAATCCATATCAAGTCAGGTAATAGGGAAAATTAATAATAAAATAAATGAAAAAATTGCAACCTATCAATTCCCCCCACACCTAAACCATACTTGTCCTCAAGCATAAGAACAGTAAACAAACCCCAATATTTGACAATGGCTATTGCTCTCTCTATCATATTGTCAAGATATCAAGAAAAATATCTCAAGCATCAGTGATCAAAATCCAAGAAACATCACCCCGGTTAGTTTTTAAACTACAAACTCCTTCAATTCCAAGTTAACTAATCTAAGAAGAAGGAATGATCGCTCAACATTTATCAGCAAATGGTCCAACTATTAACCAAAATCTCAACATTAAATCCATAATTCGGCAAGCTGACTTATATCACACACTAACACAACTTTCACTTCTTTTTTTTCGTTATTTATTTTTTTTTCTTTTTTTTCTTTTTTTTTTTCAATAGCACAAAAGACTTAGTCTCTAGCCATCGGAGTCTTTTGACTGAACTCCAACATTTGCCAGATGAAGGAGCCCGGTTACTCAACTCCTATCGCTATACGACCACGTACTCATAGAAATTACTATTTTTTGACGCGAGAATCGACACTTTAGGTGAAGATCCCCGGTTATTTGGTAGTAAAGGCTAGCAGAGTACAGTCAACTCTTATTCACACAAAAACTCAATATAACACAAAACTCAAAAGAAAATTTGCATCAGGTAGCCTCATTTTCAAACATGGAGAACTAAGGTTAATAACCGGACCAATTCACATGAAAATACCAACAATCATTCCCTACGCCTAGAAAAGTTAACCAAAAATCAAAAGAGTCAAGCAATCACCGATATTCACCAAAGAGATGTTCTTGGGCTCGACCACATTAACTTGATACACTTTTATTATTAAAATTTGGCAATAGCAGAAATAGAGGTAACAAGCCAACATCAAACTTGGCAGTCATAGGAGAGCTAGACAGATAAATGACAAAAAGTAAGCGAAAACTAGACAAATAACAAACTAAAAATAAAAGAAAAATATCTGAAAACTAAGAACTAGAAAAACTAACACCATAACTGCTCCCCCCCCACACCTAAATCCTACATTATCCCTAATGGAGGTAATAAAGTAATTAAAGTGAAAAGAACAATGAAACTTCCCTCTCGAATGGCGAAGGGGTAGGCGGGAACAGTAGAAGAAAATCGATGTGGTGGAAGTATGCACCCAAGTACTGAGACATCTTAACTCAATTCAACCAGCAAATGCAAAACTCTGTCACCCAAAATCTCAACAAAGCCTCCAAGTAGACAGTTAATTTCTCAACTCAATAGCGGCAATTCCAGCAATAGCAGTATAGAAATTGGAGAATAACCACACAATCACAATCAGGTAGCCAACCAATTGGAAATAACAAATGCTAATCAAAATACCCCAACCAGTACCACTGGTACAAAACGTAGTCCAAAATCAATGAAATTGCTATAGCAGAGTAGAGCAGTAGTAAAGCAATAGCCCCAAGTGTTAATCCAACAACAAGAAAGAGAACATGCCACCAACAGAGCAATATCAGAGCAGATCAATTGCTAATAATGTCTCCCAATTCATCAGGCAACTTCAGAAATAATTCAACCAGAATCCCAAAAGAAACCTCAACAAACTTAGCAATTAAAAGCAATGGTCAGAATATTTCCTAGCAATTCAATTAAATGCACCCAATTTGAATAAGCAATGTAAATGGCATAGAAGCCTCCCAATCAAACAAACGAAAGCAGAAATTACCCCACTAAAGTGGTAATAGACGTTCCAAGCAGACGATACCCAAATTAATCTCCACAA